ATTTTTACGATAAGCATTATATACCAAGTAGCGACTACATATGCGACTTTACTCATAGGGTGCCTCAGTATGAGTGTCACTGCTACATGCGGCTCGAACCCTAGCTGCCGATGACCGTTTCTATTCTATGCAGCCTGCGAGACTGATTAGCCATGTTGTTATAATCATCGCAAGAAGATGATGATGTAAATTCATCAGAGCTGGCATTGAATATTCTTGGAAGTAGGATTGATTTTCGTTTCGGGAACGTGTCTATCTAATCAAAGAGGTCACTCCACGGGCAGGTGTGACTTGTGCCCGTCACTAAAGCCAAAAGGTGATGAGTCCTGCGTGGAGGCGCCGCCAGGTAGTCGTGACCGGTACGAAGCTAGAGGTCAGGCACGTAAGGAGGTCAGTCGCTAATCTGTTATTCAGCGCGCTATGGCAACGGCTATGGTGGTTTTCTTGATAATCTTTTGCTTGATTGTTTTATAATTCGAAAAAGTTGTGTTTATTTATTTTTTACAATTCAGAATTGTAGTTGGCTGTAATTCTTCGTTCCCAGTAAGTTTTTATTTAATTTTCACTCAGTCGTAATATTTTTGCACACCAACCATTGTGGCTTATCGTGTTCAAACTTTTTATCCATAACTTTTCCGAATTTCATCAGCTGTGTACCGATTGCGATTGCCTTCCGCCTGAATGGATGAATGTATGTCTTCCGCCTTTTGACATTGCGGATATTATAATAGCAAATTTGCACAAAACAAATTCATGCACAACTTCTTATTACTTTCCATATTTTGGTTTTTTTAAACGTTTTACAAACATTTTTTGTATCGAAGACTCAACACATTTTGTTTGAAAACACTACTTTCAATCACTTTGCAAAAACCTAACCATACTGACAAGGGAGGTGTCACAAATCGCAGTGGCCGTTTGAGATGGGATGTGTTATGCGACACGTCACTTGGAAGGGCATTTCCAAAACCACCCTCGCTAGCTGGAGGACGGCTCTGGGAGGGGGGGGGGGGAGGGCTACGGGCGTTTTTCCGCGAGACTTAGCGGGCCTAGCTCAAATACGACTGCCGTCCTCAGCTAGCCGTACCGGTGCGGTGCAGTGGCGAGTGTGCCGACTACCGTGCGGATGTATGGAGGTTGGCATCCTCTGCTGGATAACCTTCTTGCAATCTATACACAAAGTCCTAAAATGTGTGTATTAGTGACCACAACGTGTTTTACCCCTTTAATGGTGTTTGAAAGTAGAAGAATGTTTCCATTGCAAAGACCTCCTGTACGTGTGATGAAGCATTCAATCAGATAAAATTTTATTGTCAGGTTTAGCGTACGATAAAAAACAATGGAAAAGTGAGAAAAATGCGCTCTTAACCTGTAGTAAGACCTGTCACATATTTATTTATTTATTTATTTATTTATTTGACGCACTCTGGGTGCGTCTAAACAAGGATTCGAGAATGGAAAGTGAGAATAGCACGACCAATCAAAAATTAATAAAATCAAAATCAAAATAATAAAAACATTTATGATGTTCTAGAACAAATGCTCAAAGCAGAGAAGTTTTTCGCAATTCCTATCATGTCCTAGCAATCTGCGTTATGCTCTCATTTCATTCAAATTTTTCATTTCCGCACGTTTCTTGTGTTTTCTCGTAGAAAGATATCGTGGTGTGCATTTTTGCTTTTAAAGGCAGTGTCCGGGCAAAATGGGGGTTCTGAGATTTCTCTGCCATGTGAAAGTAGCCCCCCTGAGACACAACATCGTGCAACTGCGAGCATAAAACGTTCGATCTAAAGCAAGAAAAACGATTGCAAATTGGGGAAACTTACGCCTTGGGGCGGGGTCCTCCGAGTTGTTTGAATTCCTGCCAGACGGCAGAGTACGTATGCCGCCACAGTTAAAAACCGTACGCTCTTTGCAACCTCTGCGTCTTAGCCTGGCGGGGATCCCCAAATTTCGAAATGTGAGGACTTGGAAAATGCATGTTCTCGCCGTTTTCGCGCCTTCTGATGTGTATTTTCGGATTTAGCGTTGCGGATAACCCCAGATAAGTTGATTTTTTAGAAGTCGAGTTTCTGCCCGGACACTGCCTTTGTGCACCAGTAAAGGGGTAAAACACGTTGTGGTCATTAATATACACATTTTAGGAGTTTGTATAAAAATTGCAAAAAGATTGGCCAGCAGCAGATTGGAACCTCAACACATGTGCACTGTAGTCAGCACACTTGCGACTGCGCCACACCGTCACGGCTGCGTGTATTGTAGTCGTATTCGAGCAAGGCGCGCCGCTGGGTCTTAAGCGGAAAAACGCCCGTAGCCCCCTTCCACAGTTGTTCTGCAGCTAGCGAGGGTGGTTCTGGAAATGCCCTTCCAAGTGACGTGTCATCACCTATCCTATCTCAAACGGCTACTGCGATTTCTGACACTTCCCTTGTGAGAATCTATGCAACCTTAGCAGCCTACTTGGTCAACGTTGGCCGGCAGATTCGCGCCCTGGAAGATATTGCCATGGTGGGTTTCCTGGTCATCCCACTCTACTCAGGCGCAGTCCGGCTGGTTGATGTTCCCTTGGGCCGAGAAAATAGCCCTTGAACCGGAGGCGCTCGGAAGACTTCGCTTCTGTCTGGTGCAGCCCCCATGACCGCTTTCCCGAATTGCGCATGCTATCCAAAGCAAAAATGACAGGCAGCAGGGTTTTCGTGCCAGGGCCTCCCAAATTTCCATTGCTATTCTCGTCCGAGCTGCCTTTTGGAAAATATGTAAACGCCCCGAAAAAGGTCTTTCCACCGATTTTAAAATCAAATTCGGAGTCTACGGATCGAAAAGGCCTAAAACATGCAAAAAGATAGAAGTGCAAAATCTGCCGGGACACTGCCTTCAACTGGTTCCTCAACTTCTAAACCCGGAAACCCACCCAGCGCGACTACGGCCACAGGGCAGTCGCTGCAGTTCCAGGTCGTAGCGATTGATGCCGGATGACGGCTGCGTAAGGCTTTCGTTTTGTTGGAAGAGTGAAGGAGTTTTAGCTGAAACTGGAAAAGCGCTGTCGTTACGGACATTTGCAGCATTGCTTCATGCCGCCTTTAACAGCGGTGAAATCGCTCCGAGCGCGCACAAAACTGGCTCGCTTTCAAGGGTTTTGGGCATTTTCTCGGCAGCAGAGCTGATTTGCCGCCGGACTGCTCTATTTTTTTTGACTGCCTCTATCTTGCAACTACCTGGTGTTGAAAAGTATCTTTTGGAGTGACGTGGGTTTATAAAACTCTTCGCATAGTTTTTGGTCTTTCATGTTCTGGAGGGAACGTTGCACGCGAATTCCAAGTAAAAAAAATAATACCAATCTTGACTACTGCTCAAGCTCAAGCTCAAAGTTACATAGAAGATGTCAAGATTAATCGACAATCGAGCTCAATCTTATTAGAAGGTTTGGTTGGACGAAAAGCGGCGAAGTGTCGAAGCGGCGGTACGTGCCACTACTGAATCGTCACTGTTCCTCTTTTGTATTGGAGATGCCTCATACGAGTGTTTCATACTGTTGCGGTGAACGGTTACAAACACACAATACAAAATATAAAAACCTCTTCTTAAAAAGCACTTTTTACCAGGTTTTGTCTCTTTCAAACTAATAAAAGCTGTCATTGCGCTATGTGTGCTTTGACACAAGATCATGTGAAATGGCTGGATTGTGGTATTTTTTTCACGCACAAATTTTATCAAAGCTCTTCCGGAAATTGGATTCACCGACAAACCTATTGGACTTACTCTCTGATTCAATGGGATTGGCGGCTGTGGTATGGGTTACGTCCACACAGCCTCTTCGCTTGCCTCTGCACGTCTTTCGCAATCGTGCTCTCCAGTGATTGAAGCTCCGCCTTTCCTCGCTCGTAATGGGAAATGATTAAAGAGCAGGCTCACGAAAAAGGTGCAGAGCCCAAGCAGCCCCCCCCCCCCCTCCAGCCGCCAATCCCATTGAATCAGAGGGTATCCCCAATACTAATGTAATAAGGAAGATATAGTGTGGTGCAAGGCTTCACTGGTGACTGAGTGCTAGCATGTTTTTTCTTGTTCCTTTGCTATCTATGCTAGACACAATCAGAATAACCAAATGATTATTTAGCATCAAGAGATGCTCATCTAAACACAATTGACCCGCAAAATATAGAGGTTTCCTTCTTGAAAAGCGTCTTCTTATCAATGTAGATGTCTCTCTATATAAGAGGCGGGAAGTGGAATTTATTAGATTGTCAATTCGTGACAGCGCAAGTGAATTTTCTGTAAATGCGCTTCAAATGAGCGACTGTACGATGGTAAGGACGATGGTTGGTGCAATTTTTGATATGCATATGAGCTTACATATCGCTTTCAATCAAATCTGACGTCACAGATCATGCTACCGTAACCCCAAAATTTGTGCAAATGATTTTGCTTACATAGTTAATGTCCTTCTATAACAGTTCTAACATGAACCTGAAGCGAAAGGCTTTTTGATTCTAACGGCCTGATTGGCCCAAAGTTCTAATGAAAATTATACTTTTAGACTTCTGTTCCCCGTCGTCACAAACTCATCCAAATCCTCAGTCACAAAATAAAAGAACAAAATTTTGAGATTGATAGATTGAAAACAACTCTTCGCTTACTTTTTCGCAATCCGGTTGTGTGTTAGTCTATATTTACCCTTATGTTCAAATAAAAAGATTTAGGAAAGAATGCTGAGAGCTTGATGGACTTTAATCCTTACTCGACCATTTTTGATTCAGCAATCATTCACATCGCTCCAAAAACGACTACATGCGCAGCATATTGACAACCTTTGAACTTAGTATCTTATTTGCAGCTACCGTTCATCTTGGCATGCGCATGATCGCAAAACCCTGCCAGTCCGCACGTCTTTAGCCAAGTACTAGTTTGCAGCTGTTTGATATAACAAGTAAACTAAGCTGTTGGTTGACGTAGAATTGGAAAGATGGAACCTGCGAACATATGAAGCTCGAATGTAGCAACACTATAGATGCATAAGAAGCGCTCCACAAAGAGTTTACTAGCAAGAGTAAAAGACAATGTCTAAAGCGACTATGACAGATGAAGTGCCCCCATATAGTAGGAAAAATCTAAAGAAAAGGCAGAATAAGCAGTCATAGTTGTTAAGAATTATGATCTCGGCACACAGAGTCCAATAGCGCTGTCGCATGTCGTACCAGTAGGACAAGCCGCACAAGGACTTCCTTTCATGTAAAGCACTTGGTCCACGATGTTACCTCTATAAAACTCTCATCTTAGCTTGAATGACAAAGCAAACGTGCGACGTACTTTGGATCATAAAGACATATGACCGTGTAGGAAGATGAGCATTTGGCGATTGCACATCCAATGTATTTGGTGTTGGCCCAAGCAATCTGAGAATGAGAAGTAAAGGTGCTTATCTTGTGTTATGCAAATAGAAAACTCAGCGTGTGTTCCACTCAATTTACTGTTTCCTAGTGTTGACTGCTTATAATGATTAAGGTCTACGTGCAACGTGGTCAACGTGCATAGATGGCATTTTCAAAAAGTATTCGTCCTTACCTGGGTATACGTTTCTACAGGTTGATTAACATGATTACTACGGAATGTCACTTGCATTCCTGGACCATTGCTCTCCTTACGGACCACTTTCCACCAATTTGTCACAGCCTATATCTTTGCATTTTACAAAATTTTAAACCACGAACCATACAAAAATGCCAACCTTTTTTACTGCATCTCTGTAAGTTGATGTAAGTGTAGTCGATGCGAAAGTGTCGAAGTTTTTACCATACGTACCATTGGTTGTCTTAGATGTAGGACATTGTCGTACTTCTTGAATAGCTTCCTTTTCCAGAGCACAGCTGAAGTTCTGAAAATTTTTAAGCATGATAGAGATTTCAGATCACTTGCGAGATTTGATGATGGATTCGCAGCATAGGTAATAGAAATTACCAGTTTTATGATATTTGCTCCAGTTGGTAGATAGTTTCCGCTTGGTCTTGGGACTTGGCCTTTTGCGAGAATGCTTCTAAAACATCATTTGTACTAGGTCGTAACGTAAATTTGATAAACCTTCTTCTGTCTCTAAAAAATAAACTTTAGCAAAGTTTATTTTCTGATATATGGCTTTTATAAATTGGACAAAGGGCTATCTATTGGCATTATTTTACCTTCGCCGATATGAGTATAGTTATGGAGGTAATATGTGACTGTTCGTCTGCATTTTTTATTTTCCTTAATAATTTCTGTCTGTTATTCTATATGTTTTTCAATCTTCTATGAATATTCCGGCATACAATTGAGCTCCTAACTCTTAGAAAAAAATCGGGTTGTGGCATCTTCCGTCGCTGCGTTTTTATCGTGAAATAAACGTCGGATTGCTATAAGTTCTTCGAAGTAGATTTTTGAAGAGTCTGAAAACATCACTGGGTCGCTATCCGGCGGTTCAAACATTATGTCTAATTTTTAAAAAATACTTTCATTTGACCTATCGCAACGTTTTCGCCGCGACAAAACCGTCGCACGGCGCTAATTTCCTTGACAATAAGTTTCACGAATCTAAAAATACCTTTCTGAATTTCTGGCAAAAACCGACTTAAAAATGCTTCGAATTAACATAAGAGCTTTTACACACAGCATTTGATGACTAGAATGTTTTCGTCGAATTCAAGTCAAATTTACGAAGATTTTGGACAATTTACAAAGTTTATTGAAGGAACTGAAAAAAAGTGCATTGCGGGTTTCATCATTACTTTCGACCTATCAAATACGATGCTGGCTGTTAGTCCCAAGAACGAGTTAGCTCGCGGACGCTAGCTGCGGATTTCACCTCATGATTTTCAAAGCCATTCATCTGTGGCCAAATGACTTCGTAATTTGTAGAATACAAGCATTTTAACAAAATAGTTTGGATCCAAGCTGTCATACGAAATCGTTTTCTAGGTACGTGGTCTTGAATTAATGTGCGCGTCTTCCATTGACGACGTGATGCCTTATTTCCAAGACCGTGATACAAAAGATAGATTGATTAAAGTACTAACATGAAAGCAGTTCGAAAGTCTAGGCTGTTCAACAATGTAAGTAGGAATTTGAAATTGCCAAAAATAATTCAAAATTGTTTGAAAATTTCAATAACTGAATCTTTGTAACGTGACGTGGCATAACGTGTGGCATACATATATGGAAGAGCTACATCTCTCCACACAGTCTGGAATTAAAAATATGAATTTTTTGAGAAAGTTATGAAGGTTTTTTCAAGCGTTGAATCTTATGTTAGATGTAATAGTGATGTTGAAACTTACGATTACGGAAGGAGATATAAAGATGAAAAACATATTATAACCTTCTGTAGTTCTGCGTGTCCAGGAATTGCATTCTGAGTTCATCGGTCATTCCGACGTTGCTCGAGCACTGTGTATTGGTTCCTATAAAGTATATAGTCAGAAGACTAATTCAATTTCGTCTTTCTGAGATTAGGAGAAAGAGTATTTTGATAGATGCGACTGCGAATCCGAAAATTTAGTGGATTCGAGGAAGAAAGGAAGACGAGAAGTGGAGAAGAGAAGAGTACACTTAAGTAGTTCTCGTCATTTGCAGACTGAGAGAAACGGCAAATTTACTCGTAGGTTTGAAATACTATAATGTTTTCTGCAAATTTTCCATTTGGTTTTATAACGGCTATATTCTCCCGTCACGTCTACAATGTGGTGCTCAGACATGAAAATATGTGAAAACTTCTGCTGATATAACATTGTTGACTTAGTCTTCAATCAAACTTGCGTGAAAAAAGTGACGATGATGCATCAGCGATACTTACGCGTAACATCTGAGTTGATCCATCTAAATGATTGAGGGAAAAGTGGCACGGATACCTCTTTCTTCTACCATTATGTTCTTAAAGACAACTCAAACTTATATTTATGAATAGATTGTACCGCTGGGTAGCTCTCCAGGATAGCTGGCTGGCTTGGTGGTAGCAGTTTCTTTTGCTGCTGTTGTCGTGGTCTCGGCGGCAATTTCACATAGTCCAGTGCCAGTGTTGCAACTACCAGAATCACAGCTCCCATCACTACATGCTCCATCTCCGACCTCGTATATGGTATCTCCGTTCTCTAGTTGTCTGAATATTCAGATATGATTTGCAGTGACAGTCCGAGAAGTTTGGGATTTTGGGGCAACAAAAAAATTTTTCAGGTGCGCTTTCCAGCTAGCGCCACCACCTCTCATATAGTCATTTTCCAGAAATTATTCGTAAGGCTACTTGATTCTTGGTATGTTTTTGGAATTACTTGGAATATTTGGAACAATAGCGGTTTCTCAAATGATTTCATAACGAAAAAAGGGCAATACAAATTTTGCGATCCATTCTTGGCCTTGAAGCACAAGAGCTAGAATTCGACGCTGTTCACGAACAATACTCTGTCAGTTACTTGTAAAAACTCACTTCAGCGGCAGCAACTGAAGGAGATGTTGGTACACTTATTCATATTCAAATGCAGTCTGATGCAGCATTTCGTTTTATCAGCAGCTAGAATTTTTTTTAAAGTATAAAAAAAAATGAAAAAGCGGGCAAAAGTGTAGGTCTGTAATGGATTTTATGATAAGTGAAGGGATGTAGCGTGCAAATTCAGTGAGTAGGGACCTGCACACCCAGAACTCGTGTGGGCTTACCAAAAGCAGGTTAAATTGATTTGCTTCAAATATTGTTCTTTACTGCGACAAGAACAGTCTAAAAGGGGCCTGAGTTGATATTTCGCCTGAAAGGTCCCCTTACGTGTATTTTCATTGCTTTACATAGAAGAGAATTGCTACAATAGCATGGGAAATAAAGCAAAGCAGCATCTAGATTCACTTCTGAGCATGGGATGTATGCATCTACTAATTACTAGCGCAGAAGTGATCGCCTACACTGAGAAAGAAAAGCGTCCTTACCTTGTTTTTGAAGTTAGAAATTGATTTTACAAAAGAGCACTTATTTCCTTGGCGAGACAGTTATTGAGAGATTTTTGAGAAAAGGGCACCCCACGAGCTCGAGCGAGAATTTTTCGATTGTCGATCACACAAGGGATAGAAGTGCAGTTCAAAAAAAAAAAGTTCAACAACTTTACAATTTTCTCTTTTCCTGCAATTATGACAGGAAGTGCCTACTGAGGGAGATATGGATTTTGATTTCGAAAATTCCCATTTCTATGTACTTAGCATTCCGGACGCTTCCGTTATATTTCTTCCTTTTGCTTTTCCCTACCCTCTAGCAAATCAACAAAAATTTTCAGAATGAGCTTTGCTGTCACTCGTCTTTAAATTGGTTATCGTAAATGGTCTACGTACTCTGAAACCTTCCACTCACATTAACTTCTAGCCACTTTTGGATTGAACACTTTTGGCTCATATGTGCTGTGCGATTTGTACTGCGAAGGTTTTAGGTAATGACTAAAAGCGCTCAGGGCCCGGCGGGGGTGGCGCTTTCACAAGCTGGATATCGTTTTTGGCCCGAAAAAGCAAAGGGGAAGTCGTATTTTGGGGTCCGGGGCGAAGCCTAAAATACGACTTCCCCTTTGTTTACCGATAAACAATGCACATGTCATTCTTTATTCAACATTCCTTGTTGATGCTACTGTCCTATGAACTTAGATTCCAGCAATGTGAAGATTCTGTGCTCCGATCGCTAGCCTGCCCGCAAGCGGGAATTCAAATCGCCATTCTTGTAAGAGGGAAATAACAAAATAGGCTTGTTTTCAATGCACAAGTAACGATATGGCACCAAATTTGCTGTATAGTTGGAGGACCATAAGCACAAAAAAAGTATGAAGAATTATGAGAAACTTATGTGAATTCAAAAAATGGTAAGTGTTTTTCGAAATTAGGTGGCTCCCGCGCCACCTGGGAGCCACCTGGGGTGGCTCCCTGCTTCCCTTCACATAATTTCCCAGATTTCTTTACATAAATGTGGACTAGGTCGAGAGTATTACTATATGTTCAAATCCGCTTCCAAAACCACCAAGGTACCGCTTCGATACAGCCCCAAATAGGGTTCACAGCGTTATGATCGGCCTCAGAAAGCGCGCTCCAATCGCAATCGGTGCACCTTGCACGGACGACGCGGAAACTTCGAGAATTTGACTTTTTGCTTAATTAGTGATCGCTGATTGAAGCAATCTTCACAATTTTCAAATAGATTGCTTCTTCGATGAGCCCTACAAGGGCTCAAAAGGGCCAGAGATCATATTTGGTCGTGATGTTCTATACAAAAAGTTGTTTTTGTGATTGTGTTTCTTCAGTTTTCGCATTGTGGTCGTTCTCCGCACTTTCGCTCTTTCGGGTCGTTTGTTTTCGTCGTTTTCCTTTATTCTGGCTGTTGCAAGCATGCTGTCATCAAAAGTTGAGGAAATGTTTTTGACAAGATCGAGTCGAGTAAAGTCGGTGGACCTTCATCCCACGGAAACGTGGCTATTGGCGGCTCTTTACAGTGGAACGTACAGATATGGAATTACGAGAGTCAGCTGCTTCTGAAATCTTTCAAAGTAGGTTTACCTTTTTGAATTTTCATGTATTTTTGTATGTTAGGCCCCGGCCAGACTTCGCTCAAGATAGCTCATCCAAGAATGAGTTCCTATCCCGCAAATAGTTAAGCGTTGCTAGGTGTTCTTGTACATATGCGTCTGAAAAGGGGCCTTTGGTGTTTTTGAGCGGTTCTGGGCTGTTCAGTTGAAGTCTGGCTGGGGCCTTATGTTGCTTACTATGTTTCAATCCAGTATCTTGCGCATTCTTCAGATATGTGATTTGCCAGTGCGCGCTGCCAAGTTTATTTCACGGAAATTGGATTGTTCGGCTCAGATGACATGCATGTCAGAATTTTCGACTACAGCACGTCGCACTTAGTTCACCAATTTGCGGCTCATTCGGACTATCTCAGGTAGGTGGAATGGTGCATTTATGCAGATATGTTACATGACATCGAATTTTTGCATTCGTTTTTGTACATTTGTAATTTTTTCCTTTTTCTTTGTGTATTTCCCTTCATTGCCTCCAATATTTTTGTGGATCAGCGAGACCCATATTTTCAATGTGTTTCTAGATTGGACGATCCCTTACTCGACAGAGTTTACGCGATTTGATCATCGCGATTGAATCGCGATAAGACAGCTGTTACGAGTTCATTGCATGCCAACCAGCTTGCACTTCGGGACTGTCAGGGACTTACGGGGGCCAAAAATAGGGTCAAAAGGGAAGTCGTAAGAAATTTTGACTTCAAAGGGGATATCGTTTTCAAAATCCTGAAATGCCACCTCCTGCCGGGCCCTGAAAGCGCTCATCAAATTACGCAGCTGTCGAATGTACGGATTTCAGTTAGTGATTGCGCAAGAATTTGATAGTCTATGCTATTCTAGACTTCGTAGCTGTGCATTACAAACATGGCTCTCTTTGGTAGTGTTACTTGTACGAATTTTGCTTAGGAAAGACTTAGAATCCAGACTCATCCATGTGGTATGTAGTGAATAAGTCAGTGAGAAAGTGTGATACATTTGGTTCGTCCGCGTTTTTGTGATCAAAAATCAATACGAAAAAATAAGCAGTATTCTGCTTTTGATAGATATTAGTGAAAGATTTCAAATTATGAAAATACCCTTTGCTTCAACTAGATCGACGTGGTGGAAACAAAGGGTACTTCTCTGGCACGAATTGGGATGGGAGTATTAAGTGATGTGTAGAGCATTGTCTAGAATTGTCGTCACACGAAATCGGCATTCAGTAAACTTCACTTACGAATGTAAACCCTGAAGCATAGAATGAACAGCTGAGATTGCACTAGAATTCCGAGCCAAGATGTCAGATTAGTGGTGAAGATTCAGATTAGTGGTGAAAATATCTTTGGCAAGGAAAGGATACTTGGCGACTCCGACCTTTTGGAATAAGATGTGTACCTGTAGATGCGCCTCAATGCTGATTTCAAATGTATGCTCAACATTTGCTGTGCTACTCTCTGAAAGAACTATGTACTATTTTCATATTATTTCCATAAGATCTAGGCAGTGAGGATTGTCAGTGTCGAGGATTTTTTGACTCGTATATCTCGGAGACATGCTAAGCTTAGCGTAAAGCTTTTTCATTTGGAAGCTATTCTGTAGCGCGTAAATGACCATTTAAACGGTATTGGCGAAAACCGTTATTAAACAGAACAAAGTTTGGGAAAAGAAAAGCTTCCTTCCTATAACTTCCTTTGAAAGAGCTCACAGCAGATATCGAAGACATGTTTGTGATCAGCGCTACAAGCGAATTTAATGTTGTGAGTTTCATTTTAAAAAGCCACAGACACCAAATATCTTTCCATTGTGAGTATAAACAGCATTTTATCTTTTTTTTGATACTCACGGTTGATTTGTAAAGCAGAGCACATAGATATCCTCGCAATCTCCTCCAGATGCTCGTGCACAGCCAATTTCTGTTGTTGAAGCTCGAATGAGCTGAAAGGCAAACATCTGATTATAAACTCATTAGAAAGTAAATATCACTGCCTCACATTAGCGAATTCGGTGGCTGAATATGAATCGCTGTTGTATGCAACCTTTGACTTTTCGGAATCAATGAGTGATTCAAGATTATCAGCGGCAAGCCCTTGTTTATACCATTGGTCAATGACTTCGTCAACTGTATTATCATCCTCACTGAAAAGGTAATAGGTTAAAATCGCGCATATCTAATCATGTGCGCACTTTCAGTCTTAGTTGATGGTTGTTACCACAGCACGCATCTCACTCTTTATGAGACGTCACTTAACGTCATCAAAACAAAAGAAGTAAAATAAGTAGTCACAACATATTATTTTGTACAATTACAAATGGCGAAAGTTTCCACCAAACCAGGCCATACAGTGGTCATCTGATAGTGCGTAATTTGCACTCATAGAGTCACTCAAGATGAGTGTAAATAACTGGAGGCTATAACTATAACTAGAGGCAGATCTACATCTCTTCTCTTCCAGTATAATTCGAATTGAATAGAAATCTGATCATTCGAATAAAACTTTCCAAAATTTGCATTGGAAATTCGAAACTGTGTTGTCGAGTAAAATTCGAAGACTCCAAATCGAGATTTTGAATCATTATGGTTCAAATGCTATATTCGAGTGCACCAATCAGTTCGTATCAGAATGAAATTCGTATCTAAATTGTTTGAATTCGCTTCAGAGCAACATCGACCAAGATGGTATGTCAGTGAGTTTCAGATATATTTGCTAGATATTCCGATAAATTACTCAAATATTTATACATTTGAATAAATCATTTGAAATGTCTGGACATTCGAGTAAATCATTCCAATATTTTCTAGAGTTGACCCTCATTGTTCAAATATAATCTTAATTTTTTTTCGAATTGTTGATTCTTGAATTTTGTGTGGCATTCGTTTATTCGATATTTTTAACCGAGTATTGATAATCGTTACTCGAAATCTTCAATTCACGAATCTTTTCGCTATCTATTATTCGATGAATAATTTCGAATTTTCCGCAGTATAAGTATCTCTCAGCAAAGACAACTAAAGCACCAACCTTGCTGCTATTATAGCGCAAAAATGCTAGGGCAAAAGACGACTTACGATGTTGTAACATTTTGCAAAAACTTCTTTCATTAGAGGCAGTATTTTGGAAAAACTGCGACTGCAAGCTTTCCACACCTACTGGTTTTTCTCGTTGCCCGAGTCCAGTGATGTACTGGAAATGTCAAAAGTGCTTTTTACGGCGTTTTTCTACTTGGAGATAGCTGAGGGGGGTGGGCGACGGATTCCTGCCAACATCGCAAGGCTACCTGACCCGATCAGCCAATTACCGCCAAAACGGAGTTACAGTCTCCTGCAGCCAGTCGCTATTCATGGCGGGAATCCCTCGCCCATCTCCTCCAGCTATCTCCACGGTAGGACGCTGTAAAAAAGCAGCTTTTGACTTTTCAGGTACAGTACTGGACTCAGCGCATCCAGAAGGCCTGTAGTTATGGAAAGCTCGCAGTCGCGAATTTCCCGGACCACTCCCTTTGAGTTGAATTTTTGTGTGCCTGCGTGTATGTTATCTTCCCTAGCAAAATATAAATTTCTTAAACAATTTGAGCACAACTTTGCACAGGTACCAGTGGCGGACTGAGAGGGGGTGGGGGGGGGGGGGCGCGACTTACGCGGGTTATGAAAATGTGCAAGTGACTTGTTTATTCTTGTAAACAATTGAAATAGTTTTCAAAATTTTTTTGAAAATTCTGATTAGCCTTATAAAAAAAATTTCTTTTGAAGCCTGGCTGACGCCACTCCCCCTTTCCAGATTTTAGGGGTTATGAACGCGCAAATCGAGAAGCATCCCTGAAATTTTTTCGAAGTGCATGGCTGACGCCATGCAACTCCATTTAAAAAAATTCCCCCCCCCCTCTCCTCCCCCCCCCCCCCCGGTCCGTAATCCTGGGACCGCCACTGACAGGTACCTATTGAAACGGGTGTCATAGGCTGAATCAGGCTATGGGTGCAACACAGGCTGTCCTGCACACTGTTTGATCATCAATTCTCGCTTGAACGTTTTTCGCCGAGTTTGAGGCATCTTTTGTAGGAGAATCAGCTTAGATTCACTGCATAGAACAAACCACCGATCCTTCTTCACTACTGCAGGATTACGTGAAATTTGAATAGTTGAATAGTTTTAGGCCATTAGAAGCGATATTTTGCCTCAGAAGAAAAACCAAAGACAAAACTCCTGCTCTGGGATAATCAAAGTCGCTGGTTTCAAATATGAGAACTGCATTTCACTGTGATACTTCTTGCACAAATTTTTACAGATTTAGGGTAATAACCGTTCTTTCAATGTTCGTAAATATGGTTACACCACCAACAATAAGAAAGCTGAAAAACTAAGAAAGAAGTTGTTAAGAAGTTGTGTAGTGAATTCAGCACGCCTGAAAACAGCTACACAAATCTTGAGATTTTTAAGAATTTCCTTCATTAAAAAGCCTGCTCCACACTGACGCTGTATGCTGAAACTTTCTGCCATCCCACAGTAAAGAAAAGATCTTATTCTATGTCGCCAGTCTAAGTTGAACCTACCTGTACAGAAAGGTACATCAAGCTTGGCAAAGGAAATGAAAGCATGAGAGTTATTAACGATCAAACAATGTGCATATCTTTTTGGACATGCTATAAATATATACTTTGATTTCACCGACAGACGTTGAGCTAGCAGTCTAGGCTTCTTGTTATAAATGGTGCCGATAATAAATGACAAATATCTGAAAAACATAATTTGCTTTTGTCAATTACATCGTTTTTGGAATAGGAGCTGGGACGTAAAGCGTTAAAGGAAATAAGTGTGCATACTGAACATACATACATAGCATTTGCTGATCCTCTGATTTTTTCGTAATTGTTTAGGAGCTAAAATTTCGCATAAAGGAGCAAATGGGTACGCTGAATACAAAAAAATATCAGTTCATAAATATCATTACAATCAAATGCATGACTGTTTCCACATTCTTAGAGGGATGCCCAAAATGAAGGCAAAGCTGGTCAACGAAGGTTTGCACGGATAAAAATTAGATAAACCTTCAAATGAACTCATTAGCTCACATTGTCGCTTTTTTGCATTGGGATAACGACAATAAGGGAAAGTGAGACAGGATAGCTATTCATGCTACAATTTGGTGAGTCAAGCAGAACCAGTTTTGTTCACTATGAATTTGAAAGCTTTACCATGTTGATAAATAAAACTTACGCCCAATACATATATGCCTTATCCGCTGGGAATCCGTTGCAGTTACTAAGAAAAGCGGAAGCTTCTTCCTCTAAGGTGCAACTCCAATCCTAAATTTTGACTACTTCACCTCGCGTTCATTAAAGAAGGTGATAAACGAAGATGAAGAGAATCCCTTGCATAGCGTAACCTTAATGGATTACTTTTGCTTGGATTTATCTGTCGGATACAGATATCTAGAATTTTCAAACTTACTATCCCAAACTTTTATCAAGCTACGAATTTTGTGATCCACTTGCAGTTTCAAAAGGAATTTAGACCTAACCCGCCATTTCGAGCTCCCTTTCATAACTCACTAATGCAGATACTTTATCACTTTATGGTTATCTATATCACTCACTATTTTATTCATGTTCTTCCCCGCTGGCAGGGGGTCTGCATTCCCTTTTACAACAATCGATCGTTTCTCGTTGATTTTTGCAAGCGCAGCTTCGATATCACTTTCTTCCAGCTTACCATCAGGACAGAAAGCTAAAATATATCTACTTCAATTCTTCTTCAAAAGTTTTCAAAAAAAAAAAACTCCAAAAAAATTCTTATTATAAGCAAACCTGGCGCAATTGATGGTATCAACGCCACCTGTAATCGTAAAATTCAACGTACTCATACAGTAAAAAGTATGTAATGGCTTCACCGCAAACACTATGGCAGCTTTTACAGTCATGTTTGATGAATGCAGAGTCCTAAAAGTGGCGACTTTGGCAGTTTTATATACTTGCCGGAAGTGCCGGCAGTTCATTTTTGCTGGTCTGCCACGCCCACTTTTGGAAGACATTCGGAATGATTAACAACATTGATCAATCCTCTTGTGAAAACTCGAAAATATAAAATATTGTCAAATGAATTTTATAGCAAAAATTACGCTGTTTTTATCTTGACTGACACAACTAAGTTTTCTATTTCTACACTTTCTAATATTTTAATATATACTTTAGGCTACGACTGGTATCTATGTGCTAGAGCAAAGCGCATTTCGCATACTTCTAAAGTTGATGCAGCTGTCCTCCTCTGATCATTTGACATAGTTTGCTTTTTTGATCATGCTAACTCCATCACTTGATTTTAGGTAATCAAATTTCAACTATTATATTTTGTAAGCGGAGCTAACGATGATATGCTCGAAGCAGTGGCGTACCGAGGGGGTGGCGGGGGGGGGCCCCCCCCCGAGAACGGGTCGCGAAATTTTTAAAAGTTACTTACACAAGTTATAAAAGTGTGCAAGTGACTTGTTTATTTTTGTAAACAATTAAAATAATTTTTAAAACTTTTTAAAAATTCAAATTAGCCTTATAAAAAAATTTTTTTCGGGGGCGTGGCTGACGCCACGCCCCCTTTTTCCAGATTTTAGGGGTTGGGGGCCCGCAGAAATTTTGAGAAGCCCCCCTAGAATTTTTTCGGAGTGCGTGGCTGACGCCACGCACCTTCATTTGAAAAAAATTTTTGCCGCGCCCCCCCCCCCCGAGCCGAAATCCTGGACGCCACTGACTCGAAGTATGGCTTGACTTGCACCATTTCATACTACATATTTTCTCGCTGCAGAGAGCAAATCTGGTAGCGTAGTTTTTCTAACGGCGCTAAAATTCTTCTCAAACTTTTTTTTTCTAAAAGTAGTAGAGAATATTGAGTAACGAAGCTGAACAGATGCCTAGTTTTACTCCTTTATAGATCTAGGAAACTGACAGCGGCTCTATCTTGGCTGATTTTAGTTGCAATTCATTTTTCGTGAAATTTAAATAACTTTTTACCCTGAATTTTCCATTAATGCTGGCAATATTTTTAAACGCGTTATCGCGTTAATAATGTGTGTTTTCCTTCTGCAAATGAAAAATAAAAATTGAGGAGTTCGCTCACAAATGTTTTTGTAATCCAAAAGCACATCAGTTGTTACGAAATCTCAACTCCACAATTCCCCTGATGATTTTCTTCCATAATTTTTGCTGTGCCGCTACTGTAGATAACATAATAGCTTACGTAATCAGTATGTATACATATGTGAAGCAGATATTTGTTTAAGGCTGATCATATGACTGCATTGTAATAAAAAGTTTTGCTTACTTTCTGTGGAATATTTTTTGCAGATGCAAAATGGACCAAAACTGTTACTGTCAGTTTTGCGTGCCATGTTGAAATCACTAAAAGCTCTGCAAAATTCATATCACAGAACGCCCTGATGTCTCATACTCTACAAAAAAAATCTAAAAAGCTCGCCGTTTAGTGTACTGTCACCGTTGACCAACACATATTACGTACTATGTACCACTAAAACATTTGCGGTGAGAACTGTTCATGTGTGCTTGCTTTAAATGACATGAGCAACAAATCTAAACTCAGAACCAAAGCTGAGATTGCAAAAATGCAAGAATCTTTGAGAGTGTTCCCCTTGGGACATGTGCAAAATGTATGGCTCCTCGGAAATCAAAGTCTCTCCACCGGTTAATAATAATTCGCGGCATGACTGCCACAAATAAAAGTGAAAGAGTACTGTTTGATTGAGCAAAGCAAGCTCTACAAGAAGAAGCTTCAGAAAATTCGTAAACGTCTAGTTTTCTGAAGTTTGAAGTTAAATCTTAGGATGATCTAGATGTCAAAATAGTCTAAGGAATCGTCTTTGTCCAAAAAACACAGAGACCCCCAGCTTGCTCATGCACTTTTTCTCTACATCAGACATTAGTATGCAAAGTTTTGAGTTTCTCTATGACTACAAATCAAGAAAGTTTTCGCTAAGGAAATGCTGAGCTACTCCCAGATAGGTGATTCTATATTACAAATCTTTAGAAGCATAACGGTGATTTTTCAGGGGGGGGGGCATGCGAAAGATGCGCGAAAATACAAGTAGTGTGGAATCGCTCTTGCTAGTATTTACAAAATTTTACTTATGGCATCGAGTCGTGTACCTGCCCCCATCCCCCCCCCCCCCTCCCGAAAAACGCGGCGTATTCGCACTTTTGACTATTTTTTCTCGTTTCATAGCCATGGAAAAAGCCATAAACTGTACACGTAGACGTAATTGAAAATGTAATAAGATTGTGATGAGATTTTTCACCTTAGCATTAAACTTTAGATAGAAGAGAGTTTTCGCGAGCAGTTGCAGATCTTGCTCTGCTCCATCATATTAGGTTGTCCGAAAGTTTTGTCGGTTTTTTCAAACCACTGTAAAACCACGCACAATAAAGATCTGAGTTTCAATGCGCATTCGATGCAGCTTTTCCTTCTCTTTCTTATGGTTACATTTTCATACCATAATCTTGTATGCTTTATTTGATAATTGCCAAAATTCTCCACCCGTCAATTTTATCTGCTCAAAGTTAGACTAATTTTTAAAAATTCCATCCCATAGTTTCGAAAAGGGTTATGTACCTGTCAAATAGAGCAATTTTCGGTCTACAAGATAGTATTTTTAGATTATTCTAATCTGCTCTTTAGCTTCAAAACAATTATTTCTCCGGAGGTCTCGAATTTTGGGAAAGTCATGAAATACGCAACGCATCAAATACGCGAAAGCTTTTGAAGTTTCTGCGTATTAAAACATAATTCTTACTAAACATTATTTATGCAACATGACCAACTTTGATTCGCTTTGAAAAGCAGCTTTTTGGAATTTTTGGTACTTTTACATGTTAAACTCAATCAGAAAAGCCGCGGTTTTTATCAAATAAATAATTATAACGGACTTGATAAACGTGGCTCATGTAATCTAAAATGGATATAATGTAGCCAAAGGTTTGCCCTACATAATAGTTACCAACGCTCTTTGGAAACATCAGAATAAAAAATTCTAAAATTCAAGAATGATTTGGCATTACTGCTGAGCTGCTCAAAAAGCCATGACGATAACATTGCAAAGACAGAGTAGAACAGTGAGAAGTATAACTGTAAGAAAGACGATAAAATCTGAATCGAATGGTACCCACACCGCCCATGGATAGGTGTTCTGTGAGTTTTAGTGAGCGACGAAAGAAACCGACAAAACTTTCGGGACAACCCAATATAATAATTTAATTTCGTGCCTGTCCTGTCGCAGTAGGATGTAAACCAAAATTATCCAAACGGCCTTCGTATTCAAAAAATAAAGGGCTGTTACTCAAACTATAGTTTTGCACCCTAAGGAAACTCTCTGTTTTCAGGCTCACCACCATCGCAATTTACCACTTTTCTCGAATATATTAATGCTGAGAGCTTCACACTACAAATGTTTCTCGTATCTCAGAACCAGTGAAACTCAATTTACTTTTTTATGTTCTAGGATGGGCGAAATCTGCCTTAGGGCTGTAATACTTCTCCGATATTCTTCATAAGCATCTGACCTCCAACGGTTTCCGTTGTTTTTCTTGTCTTCATGTATGTTCGCGCAATCTCTTTGACTGTGGCAATTTGCTGACTGTACTGAAGATCAAAACTTAGGCCAATCAAATTAGCACTCCTAAAAACCCTCATTAGCTCGAAAAGTCCACAGCATATTCAAATGATCGAGTCTTTGTAAAACATCATGTGATCTGCACATTATGTGCTGCAACTAACGACATTCTTACCAGTTAATCTCCAGTTAAACATTCTTTTGCGTAACAAACCGTAGATTTTTTAGTACTAAGTGATGCATATCCACTGAGACCGAGAAGACAAGAAAACAAGGAAAATTCACCAGAAATGAGCAGATTTATTTTACAAGTCTTTCAAGTAGTGCCCATGTTGTACAGTACACATATCAAGTTACAAATTACTCGAGGATAGTTGTTGAATACGAAAGTAATAAACGTTTGTGATAAAATTCGCGCTCTCACCGATTTCATCAATTTTTCTGATGCAGGGCTAAATTGATTCTTTTTGAATTTTCAAGAGATATTTTAGTTATTTGCGCAATTTATAACCCATAGCATAGCTTCAAAGACTTTGCAACCTCGGTCCATGGTGTTTGAGCAATGCTTACTTTTTGCTCTTTATTTGGTGGCATGGGAGATAACCCTACAGTATCCCTCGTTTTTGGGTGGTGTTGACTATGTTCCTGTTTTGTGCGATTGTGCAAATATGTGTCTTTGCTAACGTGTTGCTGCAAATTCTCCCCCCCCCCCCCCTCTTTTCGCTTTCATCACATGTTAGCACTCCTAATACGGGTGGTCTAAAGTCAGTACTGCAGTTTTGAACAAGCAAGAAGGACTTGATTTTCGAACCAAAAGTAAAATTCTTTCTGCTTGATCAAAAATATTGGGGAAATTGCACTGCATCATTTTTTGGAATAAAAGTATATGCATGTTTTAGATTGGTGCAAAATTTTCCTTCCTTTTCTTGATCCAACTTTGATCCCGCATATACAGTAAAATAAAATAAGTAAAATGTAGAACACTAGACCCTTTAGCAGTTGACGCAGAATTCCTTTCCCTTCCAATAAGCTATGTTCTTGATGCAAAACTTTGCACGAGTGCCGTCGCTGGTTTACTTCTCAGAATCTTCGAGGCATCAAAATGGCCCGGAAAACAATAGGACAAAAATTTTGCAAGTTGGGGCAATTTTTTATTCTTACTTGCTTTTCTAATCTATATAATTCTGTAAAAGTGACGAATTCCAGAAAGACTCATGACACTAAATGCACCAGACCTTAAAAAATTGCATAAATTCAAGGTTTCGAAATTTACTGGTCACTAAAGCTCATCAGGAAAGAGGGATTATGGCCCTTAGATATAAGGTAAAGAAGGGTAGAAC